TCAGACTGCTCTCTGCCCCAGAGTTCAGTTCTCATATTTTAAAAGAACACTATTTCTTCATCAGGGGTGAGGGAGGGGGGCAGGAGGGAAGGAAAAGGTTGAGTGCATCTTTTGCACAATGTATGTGCAAAAGGCCATTCCTGACAGAGGGTGTATCATTCAGATACTGTCTGGCATAAAAAATGGCAAAGAGGCTGTCTAAAGGGTCAAAACCACTAGTATTCAGAGAAGATGGGAAGTGGGATCAATCTTTTGTAAAGGGTACTAGATTGGAGAAAACTGCTTTAACCTAGAAGTGAGTATGGCTGACTGGAAGCCTGAGCACAGATACAGTTGTCCTAAGTACTGTGTTTTCCCGAAAATAAACCTGCCCCCGAAAATAAGCCCCAGCTGATTTTCGGAGGATGGGCCTAATATAAGCCCTCCCCTGAAAGTAAGCCCCTATTTAAGGGTCTGCACAGATGGCCTACCTGTGACGAGTTGATGGGGGAGGGGGGATCTGACCCACGGTACCGGTATACCGGTTCCTTACCGCCACCTGGCTTGTTCCGTGGCCTCATGGCAGTGGCATTGGGCAGGAGCCGGCAAATGGCTGTTTTCGGCACGACGCGGTCGTTTGCCACCGGTCGTGGCTGTTTGCCGCCTCGCGCATCACACCCAATGCCGCTGCCATGAGGCTTGGTGGATCCTCTCCACTTCTGAGCCACGTGCCATTATACCGGTTCCCTACTGCTGCCCAGCTTGTTCCGTGGCCTCATGGCCGCATCATTGGTAAGAGCAACGCGGCTCAGCCAAAAGCAGCCACAGAACAAGTGGGGCAGATTCCCCCTTCACCTGCCCATTCTCTTTTCTGTCATGTGCAGGGAAACAAAGTTTTTTTTGGGGGAAAAAAGGTCAATCAATCAATTCCAACTTCTTGCAAAAAAAAAAAAAAAGATCTTGTGAAGTTGGAATTGATTGACCTTTCCCCCCCAAAAAAACTTTCTTTCTTTCCTTGCACACGGCGGTGGTGGATTGCAACTGCCCCACTTGTTCCGAGGCCGCTTTCAGCCAAGCCGTGTTGCTCTCGCCAATGGCCTGCCCACCCTCCCTCCCCGAGTAGGTGAGGGGGAAACCTGCCCCACTTGTTCTGCTGCTGTTTTCGGCTGAGCTGCGTTGCTCTCGCCAACGGCCTGCTCACCCTCCCTCCCTGAGCCTCCAGTGCTTCACCTGCTGCTTCGGTCAGCCTGGCAGCCCCCACCTCAACACCCTGCCCACCGCTGCCCAGCACGTCCACCCCGGGACTGCAGGGGCTGGCCTGGCACAGGAAAGGAATACACCCCACCTTCCCACCACTGTGCAGGGTAAGGTTGCCGTGCCTGCCCCCCGCCCAGATGCCTCACCTCCCCCAAGCATTTTTTTATTAGCCTGCCTTTCAGCTGCATTGCGTTTCTCTGTTCGCTTCTCAGCCATTGCCGCGTGTCTGTGGGACTACCGGTAAAAAAAAAAATAGTTCAATCAGACTTTCTAACTTCTGCTACCAGGCTCTCGCCACCATGTTGCTTCTCCAACCCATGCATAGGCCTCGCCTACTGGTGCCGGTACCGGCAAAAAGTAAGCCCTCCCTGAAAGTAAAACTTTGTCCTTACTTCAGAGCCCAAAAGAAAGTAAGACAGGGTCTTACTTCCAGGGAAACACAGTAGTTAGATTATGCTTCATCACCTCAGCATTTTAATTTTTGATTCTAAGCATGAAAGAAAAAAACATTAATTATTATGTGGATATGACCAACTTGAGTTTGTAAGAAAACTATGAGAAAAGTATGGCAGCAGCTGTTCTTGCTTCTGGCCCAAAATGATGACATTCTGTAGAAAAAGAATGACACAAGTGTGGGTCAAGAAGGAAAATACTATTTTGGGTCTTCTCTGAAGTAGAAATCTTTGTATGAAGTGTTAGGAAGCCAAGAAAGTACTGAGTCATGGCAGAAATTCCCAAACTCTGCTATTAAAGTAAAAAAAGGCAATATAGTTATCCATCCAGTTCTTACAGGGCATCCTGCCTTGTGAGCTCAGGATTAACATAAATGATATAAAGAATGGAACTTTCCCATAACTCTTTTGAGTCTATGAGTGTTTGTTTTGTCCTAGTACAAACCCCTATGCTGACCTAGTGCACGGCTTACGTGCTACCTGGATGACAGGAAAGACACGTCCTAAGGAGTATCGAGTCCACCAACTGGAGGGCCTGTGCCACTTTCTGGAAGAAAGGCATGCAGATATCCAGCGTGCCATGTGTGCAGACCTACACAAGGTGAGTGAGCCTCCCAGCCAGAGCATCTGGCAGCTCAGAGGGGAATTGCAGATGGGCTTGCTGACTTTGCTTGTCAGAAAGTTGCAAAAGGTGATCACATGACCTCAGGACACTGCAAACATCATAAATATTAACAAGCATCTGAATTTTGATCGTGTGACCATGGGGATGCTGCAATGGTATTGTGTGAAAAATGGTCATAAGTCACTTTTTTCAGTGCTGTTGTAACTTTGAATGGTCACTAAATGAACTGTTGTAAGTTGAGGACTACCTATATCTACATCTTATAAAGGGTACTGAACTAAGCTTAGTGCCATGTCCTGGTGTAAAGTTCAAACATTACATTTCCGGAATCAATTGGGATGATACGGTAGCATGATAAAGCAGTGCTATGTGCTGAATGCGACACAAATTTGCTCAATGAATTGCTTCCTACTTCACCTCTTGTACTCAGCATCAGTGGTGGGATTCAGCTGGTTTGCACCACTTGGACAGAACCGGTAGCTAATTTTTTGTTGCCCAGACACAGAACAGACTTCCAGAAGCGGCATCCACACAGCGAACTGGTTGTTCACATATTTGAATCCCACCACTGCTCAGCATGG